CGCGCCCACCGCCGGTCCCAGTGGTTGCACCGTGGGGCCAGCGCGTGCAGCTGCACGGTGCCGCCCAGGGCTGCATGCCAGCGTGTGCAGCTGCACAGGGGCACACACTGCTGCCCAGCAGCATCTGGGGCCACGTGGTGCTGCGCAGTGCCATGCACTGCTGCCATCCAGGGTGGCATGCTGCCCTGCAGAGCTGCGCAGTGCCATGCATTGCTGCCTGCTACCACCCGCGGCTGCTAAGTGGCATGCATGGTTGCATAGTGCAAAGCACTGCTGCTGCTGCCATCCAGAGCATATGCTGCCCTGCGCAGCTGCCTGCTGCCATCCTGGGTGGCATAGCAGCATGCACAGCTGCATGGTCCCATGCATCGCTGTTGACAGCATCCGGAGCTGCATGCACAGCTGCATGGTGTAATGCACTGCCCGCCAGTACTGAGGGGGGCTGAGGGTTAAAGGCACCCGTGTGACAAATGCAGGGCTCTGGGTCACGCGGGGGTGTGCGGGATCTGATTCCCACCGGGAAGCAGGGCGGGGGAGGCTGCACTCCGACCGGCGAAAGAGAAAATACTAATCCTTTTATTTTTATATTATTACTTATTCATCTGGGCTGCACAGGCCTAATGGAAACCAGATGTAGGAAAACAGACACAGCCCTGAGCGGCTGGGACAAATTACCCCAAAGACAAATCCCCCAAAAGAGAAAAAAAAAAAAAAAAAAAGAATTCCAGCGGAGTTGGAGTCATGTCAGGGAATTGCTGCCACATTTGTGAGCGCTGCTGGGAGGGAGCCGGGCGTGCGCGACGCTGCAGCTCCCGCATCCCGCGCGCATCCTGTGCGGAGCAGCCGTGGCCCCGCGGGTGATGCCAGCAGCTGTGCCAAGCCCAGGGCGGGATGTGCAGGGCTGGGAATGCCAGGATCTCGCTACAGTGAGATCCCAGTGCTCCCAGTGTTCCCGGGCTGTTTGCTTTGGGCATTTCCCAGCCACGACACCGCCGAGGAAGCCAGCAGGTTTCGGGGCTGTTCCTGGTGCCCGGGCTGCAGTGTTTGCATTACAAACACATCAGGGAAAATTTATGACCTTAAAAGGAAAAAAAAAAAAAAGGCAGAAACCCACCCAAGCCCCATTTCCCCTGGTGTTTGTTCAGCTTCGTGGAAACTTTCCTCCTGATGTGGAGCTGTGGAAAAGCTGGGCCCGGGCCAGGAGGAGCAGAGCTGTTTCCTCGCGGTGCTCGGAGTCAGGCCAGCAGCGGGGGACGGGGACGGGGACGGGGACGGCAGCGCAGAGGGACATGAGGGTCCTGGGGCCGCTCTGTCCACACGAGCCCGCGGGTGGGAGATGCGCAGGGGCCGCTGCCGGGCTCTGTGTGACCGCCTGGCACGGGGCCGCTGGTCCTGGATGTGCCGCCCAAAACGGGAATTGCTCCACGTGCGCGGGGATTTTCTGGGCTTTGGCTGTGCCCTGCTCAGTGTCAACCCTGTCCCCAGCTCTGCGGGATGCTCCCGCCCTGGTGATCCGCAGCTCCAGGGCTGAGCAGGCTCCTCCGGCTGCTGGCGCGTTGCCTTCGCAAAACAACATCCCGGGAGCGACGTGGTCCAGCTGGGACGGGATGCAGGGGATGCTGCAACCAGGTGTGAATTCCCCTGAGTGACATAGTCCAGCTGGGACAGGAGGCAGGGGGTGCTACAAGCAGAAGTGACGTCCCATGGTGACATGATTCAGCTAGGATGGGATGCAGGGAATGCTGCAACCAGGTGTGAATTCCCCAGGGTGATGGATGTGCTCCAGCTGGGTCAGGATACAGGGGATGGCTGCAGTGCCATGTCCCATGGGTACCAGGATGCCAGACAGATGATGCTGTGACCCAGGTGCAACATCTGGGCGCCTCTGGCCTCCCCAGCACAGCTGGGCCCTGGATTTCTCCTGCTCTGCCCCAGGGAAAGCTGTTCCCAGGGGTGGGCAGTTCCATACAAAGTAAAGCAAACAAAAAAATATGTGTTTCTGAGTGCCCTGTTTATATTGGTAGACCCTGAAAGCAAAACGTTGTTTATGGGGAGGGTTTTGTTTGTTTTTTCTTTTTTTTTCCTCCCTGAGGATGGGGAAGGGAAAGGAGAAAGGGAAAACTGGAGAAGGGCCCTGTTACGAGGCTGTGTGTTTGCAGGATTGCGGGAGATGCAGCCTTGGATCAGCTCCGCGAGCGAGGCCGGGCGATGCAGGGCCCCACGGTCCCATTGCAGGCTGATGGGACGCTGTGTCCCATCCGATGTCCCCGCGCCGGGCTCCTCTGCTGCTCCAATTCCCGCTTCCCAACACAGCTCGGCCGCAC